GGTTAGTTGGGGGGGTGGGGGGGTAAATTAGGGTGGGGTCCCCGGGGGGGGGGGGGGGGGGCTGGCAGGTCAGCATCTCCCCCTTTTCCCAGCGAGGGCTGCGCAGAAAATAAAAAGGCTGTCAAAAAGGAGGGCAAAAGCCACCCGGAGCCACCAAGGATTCATCGATCCGACAGGCAGAGAAAATGAAAACACTCGGAGGAAGCATCGCACTCGTGCTGCCATTAGCAGCGAGCAGCTAAATTAACACACGGCTTTCGAGAGGTAAAGGACCTGCCTCCTCTCCGAGGCGGGCAGCGCTTGAGAAGCAGCTTTGCTGTGACTGTTTTTAATTAAACCAAGCACTCGACGCTCTGAATGCGGCATCAGATCTTCACATGCGTGGCTTTAATTAAAGCTCCGGCTTTCCCCTAATCAAAGCACATAAATCCCAGCAAAGAGCTGCAGGTTCTCCCTTGGGCTCACTTCCAATCCTCAGCTCTCCTCGCACTCAGGCAGATTCTCGGCTGCTACGGTACGTTATCGCTGACGCTCCAGCAATACCTTCAACCGCGGCCGAGCCTTTTCCTCTCACATCTGCTCCTCTGACACACTCCTCTCCTCAAGTGACAAAGTTCAGCTGTTATTGAGTGCGTGGAGCTTTCTGCTGCAGACCCCCAGCCAGATGTGGCTTTGGATCACCCCCGAGAAGCTGCTATTTCTCCCACAGTCCAGCTGTTTGCAGTTATTTGCTTGCGAGACAAGAGCTGTTGTACTTTGGCAAGACGAGGAGCGCTTCCGAGATGCTCCAAGGCGCGGGGTGGCAGCAGCCAGTAGCACAAGCACATGGGAAGACCACGTCAAGAGCTGGTAGGGGCTTAAATACGGTCGGGAAAAGAAGAGTTGAACTTAGCACAAAGGCAGCCGAGGCGATACTGCGAAGAACCGAAGGTCAGCCAAGCCCAGAAGATCTCAGAGGGTCTCTCTCCTTCCCACGCACGGTGGGGCACTAGATGGCACTCGCAGCAGCACACACCCGCACCGGTTATTCCCGGAATAAAAATCACTAGGACTGTTAGCTGTGGCCAAATAAACGCTTTAACAACTTGATTGTTCACCGCAGTAATAAGCGATTTGAGGAGAATCGCTGCCATTATGGACAGCGCACCGGTGAAAAGCTATAGGCTATTTAAAAATAATGACTCTGCCCAGCCAAAGGCTGCAGTTAGGAATTCTGCTTATCATCAATTAGCGGCTGCTTTGCCAACAAAGGACAATGCTGAGCCCACAGGACAATACTTCCCAGATGGCCTTGTCCGCAACAAATTAAAGTTGCAGCCCTGGATGAAGCAGGAGCTGTTTAAACACAGGAAGCTTTTTGGAATTAACTCTGTTCCTACTCCTCCGAAAGGAACACCTCCCTCCCCCCCGCAGCTCGGGAAACTCGGGAAGAAAATATTCCTGGGATGCTGCTCTCGAGCCACGCGCGTGCTCCTCAGCCGCACGAGGCAAGGTCAGAGAGGGGAAGTGACCACCTACCGGGTGCTGCACATTCGGGAATAACCGTGTCCTCGCACACGGCGGAGGGACAAGCATCAGCCTGGGCACACCGTCTTATTTGAGGTGACGCACAGTCCCTCTCCGAACCCCGCTGCGGAGGTTTGCTACCAGAGGGACTGCAGGACACCCTCCCACACACAGCCTGCAGCAACCGAGAGCTAGAAATTTACGCCACGGCTTGAAAAATACGCTTGGTAACACGGTAAAGAGGACGCAGAGGACTTTTGCGCAGGAAACCCCATCAACACGCTCCCACGCAGGCTGTCGCCGCGAACAGACCGCCCCGAAATCTGCCTCTCTCGAAGCCAGCAGGACAACCGCCCTCTCGGCAGGCAGACGAAGAGCGCTCTCCCTCGCTACGTGCCTGGCCGCTGCTCTCCTCAGACTGTACCAGCCTTCGCCAAGACCCTCCCGACCAGCCGTACCTTTGCTCGGTCAGTATCTCCAGAACGTTTTCGGCCAGCCAGATGTTCTTCGCCGTCACATCCCCGCCTGAAAGCAAAGAGCAACAGGGAAAAGCCAAATGAACCAAGTGCGGTTCTGTTACCAGACTCAACTGAACCACCGACCGCTTCGATCCCTGCAGCCCCAGGAAGGCAAAGCTAATTAAGGAGTTTGCTCCGTGTCTGGAGAACACACTCCTGCCTGGTCCCACTCTGCCGGTCGCACGTGCTTGGCTGTTCCTAGATATAGCACATTTCGAGGTACAAGCGCCTTTCTGTTAGGGGATCGAGGGGGTCTTTGCTGCAACAGTATTCTTGCAAAAGAACTGAGTCAGTAATTATCCCTCTGGAAAGCAAAGGAGATGCCAGAAAGGGATGGGATTCGGGAGCTGGGAAAGAGAAAACATTTGCTGAGCCTACGAAAGGGAAGTGGTGTCTGCAAAGAATGCCCAAACTCTCAAATAAAGGTCAGGTGTCAAAGCGGCGTCTCACGCCCTCAGCGTGGGCCTTCAGCACGAAGCTGGAGTCTTTGGCCGACGTCGCTGGGAGCGGAGCGGGACTCCTGCTCGCAGGGGTGCAGAAAACGCCTAAAGCAGGCAAGCCAAAACAATGGGATCATAACAATTAAGGCATCGTAAAAGCGGTGAGAAGTGAGACAGCGGCGTCCTTCCAGAACAGAAGGGGCCCTGAAGAGGGAGGTGCAACCGAGGGGAAACAAGGGATGCCTTCACCACGGGTTTTTAAAATGTTCTGTTTACACTGTGACAACAAGGGCCAGGGCAGCTTGGCTCGCGCTCAGGACTCTGTCCCCTCCCTCCCCATTCTTCCTCCCCTGAAGAGCAGACACGGCAATTTCCAAGCCAGGCTGCCGGGCCCCGTGTCATGGGCGCGTACAATCAAAACACAATGTCAGGTTTTACGGTGGGACATTAATTCCTCCTTCGTGGACGTCAGTGGCCGGCACTAGAGCTGAGCAGAGAACACGGAAGAGGCACCGTTCCTGTGAATCCGGAAAGGCGTGTGCGGGTGTATGTGTGTACGGTTGTGGGGTGCTTACACCCAGGGCTGGGGGGGAACACGTTACAGGCTACCGCACGGCCAGTGCCAGCTCCCTGGAGGAGCTACTGACTTTACGTGGGGTGAAGCAGCCTCCTGCGTCCCTGATGAGTTACAGAGGAGCCATGCGCACGGCTCTTGCCATCCCAGAGGTCGGAGCAGGGACTAAGGACGATCCTGGTGCTCTTGCGCAGTACTACGGGGTGAAAGCTGGCAGCAACAGGAACCAATACGCTTCCTGGCTGTTCCGGCATTTGCCAGAAGCCTCCTGGCTCCCTCTGTGATTCACCCCCTCGTAGAAGCTGTTGGGAGCAACAGAATTATCCTCTGTTTCATCCTCCCTGGAGAGATATCCTCACCAGACAGGTTGGGACAGGCTCGGTCCCTGCCAGCGAGCCCTGCTCCTGCCCCTCAGCTGGGTACAGAGACATTCGGGAAGCGTATCCGGACGTGGCTGCACGGCAGCGCAGTCTCTGGCTCTGACGCCAAGGGCCGCACGCCACGAGTCAGCCCTGGTCCCACC